CGCCAGCCAGGGCTCAAAGGACCCCCCTCCCAAGCTCCCAGAGGGTGGTTTCACCGGTGCACCCCCTCCCCCAAAACACCTAGCCTGGGGACTCCCCTCTTACTGTCACAGACCCTCAGGGTCCCAGCAGCCCCCACCTCCCGGCATGCCTGCCTTGTCCTGCAGCAACGTTTTCACCATTGCAGGGGCCTTCAGTCACTCAGCGTGGGTTTGTGGGGAACGCGGCGGTGCCGGTGGCTTCCCCTGAAAAGGCGGGGACGTTGTGGTGCTGAGCTTATGTGTTATGGGGGTGTCTCTGCAGTTTGGGACAGTTGGGGGAGCAGGTCTGAGCCAGGCACGCCCAAGCACTCGCTCCAGAGCCCATGCTGGTGGGGATGTGCCTCTGCAGGGGCTTGGTGGGAGCGACAGCACGTCTGCTCCCTGCTTGGAGCAGGGTGAGGGTTATTCCAGAGGCTCTGTGTGTGTGTGCGTAGGGCCAGGCTTATGGGGGTGTCTCTGCAGTTTGGGACAGTTGGGGGAGCAGGTCTGAGCCAGGCACGCCCAAGCACTCGCTCCAGAGCCCATGCTGGTGGGGATGTGCCTCTGCAGGGGCTTGGTGGGAGCGACAGCACGTCTGCTCCCTGCTTGGAGCAGGGTGAGGGTTATTCCAGAGGCTCTGTGTGTGTGTGCGTAGGGCCAGGCCACCCTCCCACCACCACCACTTTTTCTCTGCTGTCTGACTGCCTCTGTCACGCTGCCAGTGCGCAGGGCCCCAGGAGCTTCCCTGTGCAGGCTTGTCCCCTGCCTGGCATGCATCCTGCCTGTCCCGTGGCAGACAGGGCTGTCAGCACAGCCACCCCAGCCCTCCACCCCGCCGGATCGGGAAGACCCCAAGAGCAGGGAGGGAGAGTGCCATGCACGGCCTGTGAGTGGGGAGAGCCAAGCAGGTATTGGCAGCGTTGTGGGGCACGGCGAGGAGTAGAGATGCACCGTCATTGCCCACGGCTGAGGGTGAGCTGACAGGAGCTGCAAGGCTGGTGGGTCTTTGTGCACAGTGCCAGCTGCTGTGCTGCTTCTGTCAGCAGGCCTGTCAGCAGGTTTGGGATGAGGACACTGCAAAGCCCAGCAGAGCAGTGTGTTTCACTCCTGTGGTCCCCCATGTCTGCGTCTGACGGTTGGCAGGACCCTCCTGGCCTCCCTCCCTGCCTGCCCTTGGCCCTGGTTTCTTCCTTCCTGGGGCAGTTGTGCAGCACTGCTTGTGGCTGCAGAAACGTCAGAGCAGGAGGAGCCCCTCACCCCAGCAGCTCTGGGGCAGGACAGCTTTTGCAGCCCCTTTCTCACAGTTGAGACCCAGCACTGACTGCTCTTTCAAATTTGCAAGTCACCAGCTCCAGCACCTCTTCCCTCGTCTCTACGTTCGTGTTTGAGTGGAAAGTTTCCATCACATGGCGATGCCATCTGGTCACCTCCCAGCCTTGGGGTGCCTGCAGCAGGCAGGGAAGCACCGAGAGAGGCTTAAGCAGTGAGGATGCTCATGCGTGCTGTAGCCAGGCACAGCAAGCAGACCTGGGCTTTAATGTGGCCAGCAGGCAGGGCCTGTGAGCATCGGGCTTCGTTGCAGAACGAGCGTGGCTCCTTGATGTGAGTGGGCCTGCACAGCACATTCAGCCATGGTGGGCGTGTGACCATCTCTTACTAACCCCTTCCATCCTCAAAAAGGGCCCTGGGGTGATGGAGGGGCTTCAGTGAGCCCTTCAGCATGTGTTGCCATGGGATGCCCGAAAATTCAAACCATTTCTCACAGCCAAGACACATCTATGACCTGTGGAGAGGGACTGTGCTTTGGCACTGGCTTCTTTAATCCATCCTCCTGTAGCAGGAGCTGGTTGCCTGAAATCAGTAGATTCAGACCAAAAATAACATGGTTATTTTGGTACATCTTCCAAAAAGCTGTATCTTCTCTGGTATGTCTTCCTAAAGCTCTCCTCCTGAGCAACTGTTGCATCAAAACTGGCTTATTTTGGTTTTCCTAAAGGCTCCACTCAGTGGAAGCAGATGTTAATTCAGGGAACCATAGAGATTTGTGTTACTTGAGATAGATCATTTGATGTGGGAGAGGGGTAGAAGTGGGGACTCCCAGCATGTACCACTGCTCCTGTCCAGCTGCAGGGACTTCTGTTGCTCTCACCGATACCCCAGTTCTTGGGGGATCATTCCCTTAAGCTGTAAGTGTCTGTGTCTAATGGAAAAGCAGTTTGTGCTAAGGGAAGGGAAAAGAGGAAGAGGCTGCAGAGGCCTCATGGAGCAGAGGATGCTGGACCACGCCCTGCTGACCGTGGGAGGATCGCCAGTTTGCTCCGTGCCCTGGCAGCTTTTTAACACCGCTAAATGCATGGTGCAGACCTCACGTGCTTGAGAACCCATTCCCCTTCCCGCCTTGTGGTCCCTCCTTGCTGACCGCCAGACTCCACATCACAGCCCGCTGTTCCATGGAGATGCTCAGGAAACCAATGAGGATGTGCCTCCCAGCAGGTCAGAGTAATCCAACAGCTGTGGTTTCAAAGCAGGTTTCAGCCGCTTTGGTCCTTCTCCTTTCACCAGCCTCATTCCTCTGTCACTGGTGACAGGGTGGACTGACCACTGTGGGGCAGAGCCCACCCAGAGTGGTGGGATCTTCCTTCTGGAGCTTGATTCCTCCACAAATCAAGCAAAATCAATAAACTGGAAACAGAAGGAAATTTGACATTTTTAACTAATTTCTTTTAGTCAATTAGTGCCTGGCAGTGCTGGCTACGCATTAAAGTGCCTGAAGTTACAGATCTTTTCTGGAAGATGATTTTCAGCTATCTTGTATTTAAAGATTTGTGAATAAAGTAGTGACCCAGGTCAGGGCCATGACTTTGGAGTTGAAATAGATATTTACTCTCTGTGATCTCACAGAGAGTGAATATCTCACCTGGCCTTTAAGGTACTGTTTGCTCCAGGCCTTTTTCCCCAGACAGAAACCAAGGAGGATAACTAAAATTCTGAATCCTTTTTCAGGGTCTAAATCACTCCCTGAAGTGTTGTTTTTTTTTGTTTTTTTTTTCTTTGAAAGAGAAGGTGAAGATGGAAGCAACTGCTGTGCTTGGGGGATCCCCCTGGTCCTAGGTCATTTCAAACCAGAGCAGTTTTCCATCATGTCTTCCCTATCAGTGCTCTTGTCAGTTGTTGTTGCCAGTGCCCCAGGTATTATTGCCTCAGGTATCACTCACCTCTTGCGCATCCATGATCGGCCGCACTGGTGGTGCAGGAGAGACTGCTTGGTGTCACCCAGATTTGCGTTACCCTTTGGACAACTGCTGCCATCCTGTCCCCCCACAGAGAGCTTCCAGCTGAGCACAAGTGTTCCTGTAGCATGAGAAGGTGAAGGAAGGCAGGCTGTGGTGTGAAGTCCAGTAGTGGTAAGGAGGTACCCATCTATTTGACACTCTTTTTGGCACTTGGGAGGCCACAGCTGGATACTGGGACCTGTTTGGGGCTTTCCAGTACAAGAAAGGCATAGGCCCCTGCTGGAGTCACTCCAGGGTGTCATCAGGATAGTTAGGGGGACGCAGGATGGCAGTCATGCGTCGGGACAAGGACTTGTAGAAGCAGTAGGATCTTCATCCTTAGAGCTACTCAGACTTTGACCGAACAAGAGGTTGGAGCAGAGACCCCCAGCGATCCGAGAGGGCTTGCTGCACGCTGCTAGAGGGAAGCAAGACTCCAAATCTCTTAACGTTTTCCCGTGTGATACCACGTCCGACAGGGAATCCCACTGTATGTGGCAAAGAAACAAGGCCCTTTCCTGAGCTGTGATCTTTGTATCATGGTGCGCTTCCCTGCATCCTCCTGATGCGTTCGAGTAACTGAAATATTGGCTTTTAAAATCTGCCGCCAGCAAGTGGAGAACATTTTTGGGTGGTGCTGCCAGTTCCTGGTGTGAATTAGGAAATTATTATTTTCCTTTGGAAAATGGAAGTGTCAGATTCAAAACAGACTTGGGTGAATGCATGGGTTTTCATAACTAAAAGAGAGAAACCAACCATAGGAGCCAGTACCAGCCTAAAGCCTGTTTCTGTGATGCAGGGCAAGGAAATGGCCTCCTTTCTCTTCTCTACTGCACAGGTGCTTTGCACCAAGCAGATGTTTTTCCTTCATTAATCGAGAAGTCTGTCTGACCTCTTTGTTTCCCCTTTTTAGGCCATGAACCTGGACTTGTGCAGCTGGTGAATTACTACAGGGGAGCAGACAAGCTGTGCCGCAAAGCGTCTCTGGTGAAGTAAGAAATTCACTGAAATGTTACGTGGGATTGGCAGAAATTTTTCTTCTAACCGTGTTGGAGTGTTGAATCTGTTCAGAAGGTGTTTCCCAGAACAGCTGCCCTGGGAGTGTCCTAGCTTGTGCTGTCTTCAGACTCCTATGCTGGTCTCTGGAGCTATCTGTGTGCACAAAGACCTCTTTGTAACTGCAGGGGAAATGCTGTTTCCACTGAATTGCATCTACTTGAAACCATAGAGTGTATTGAATCAGATTAGAGCCAAATCAAAAGGGAAAAAAAAACCCAACAAACATATCTGGTCTTTTTCCTTGTAGACATTTAATTAAAACCTACTCCTTTTATTCTCTGTTTCATACAGAGATGAGACACTAATATGCCTTTAACTAATCAGATTTGTTGGTCAAACAAATGCTTGGAGACATCTCCAGGAAGAGCTCTGGGAGTTATTTCTGCATGACCAGCCATGCTAGGGTCTCCTGAGGAAATGCGGATGAGCTTTCATTGTAGATAACCCTCGTCCCTGTGCAAACTCTGCGGCCATTAGGGCATCTTCGTATCAGAGCTCTTGGTCTCCTTCAAGCATTGGATTCCACGTTAGTGCCTGTGCTGCCTCTCGCTGATGCAGTCCTGCAGACTCTGTGTGCTGATCCAAGGAGGCCTCTCCTTCCCCTTGCTTGCTTTACAGCAGTGATGGTGTTTGTCAGGAACTAGCAGAGTAGTTTTTAAACAAGTGCTCATGGCGCTCCCCAGCTGGCTTTCTCTGTGGCCCATGGTCTAGAGGTGGTGCTGACACCTGTCTGTGTCTCCTGAAGCTTCACTGACCTTTCTAACTGTGGGGTCAACTGTGCATCTAGCTGCTTATGGACCCAGGGCACCGCAAAGGACGTTCCTCAGGGCTCCCTGGGTATCGCTGACTGACGCCTCAACAGAGAGGCACAAATGCACAGAGAGGGTCAGCAAGTCATGAGCTCTTGGCCATGAGCAAAGCACAGAGCGAGCGTTCAGATAGGCAGGCAGCTCCCTTGACTCTGAAAGAAAACAGTCCTGGTCACTGCTAACAGGAGTTTGCAGGTATCTCTAGATGTTACTGGTAGGAGGGATGTGCCAAAGAGATTGCAGACTGTGTGGTGCAAGGGGACCCTAGGCACCTTGGGACATGAAACATGCAGCTGTGTCCTTGCTTTCAGTGGGTTCCCAGTGGTCTTTGCCCGCAACTGGGACACCCAATCAGATCTCTGTGGTGATGAGATCAAGAACAAAGCACCAGCACAGAGAGCATCACTACTCTGGCTTCCCTTTTGCCTGTCGTGATCATAGCACCCTTCCTGCCCCATTCCGTGTTAGCAAAGGCACCTCTTCAGTTTCCTTGCGCAGAGATGATGCGAGGAATGCACTGCAAGCTCTAGTTATGTGGAAAATCTCTACTGATTGTTTCACGGTATCCATAGTATCTACAAAATGTTTAATAAAAGCGTGCAGGTCTGGTTCAAAGAGCAGTGCTTGGCTGCAAGTTGGGGTTGCCATGATATCTTTTGGAAAACTCTAATTTCAAGGGTCTAAGGAAAACATAACAATTTAGCACAGACTATCTGTTAGCTGCTGTTCATCACCAAGTGAAAGAGCCCAGTTAATGATGATTTTTACTTATTAAATTTTGTCCATGTAGGTGGGGGCACTCTGGAGGTTAACAGCCTGTCTCTCTTCACCCAGGCTAATCAAGACAAGCCCTGAACTATCGGAGTCCTGCACATGGTTCCCCGAGTCGTATGTGATTTACCCAACAAACTTGAAGACCCCTGTGGCTCCAGCACAGAATGGAATTCGCCATCTCATAAACAACACACGGACAGATGAGCGGGAAGTCTTCTTGGCAGCTTACAACAGGCGGCGGGAAGGCAAAGAAGGCAATGTGTGGATCGCCAAGTCCTCAGCTGGTGCCAAAGGTTCATTCCCCAGCAAAATGATCCACCTTCTCGTTTTTCCTTACTCTTTCCTTGATCGGTGGAGTCCCAGGGTTTGGCTGAGCCTGACTCATATCTAGCCTGTCTATGCAGGGTTTCACCTACCAACTCCATGCCAATCAAGCCAGCACAGGCTCTCCTGTGTCTGCTTGGTGGCATGGGGCTCCTGACAGGCACTGTAGCATGCACATGCTACCTAGGACGTGGATGGCAGTGAAAGGACCTCCACTTTTCTACACATGCGCCTCAAAATACAGGAAAGCTTGCTGCAGGGAGAAGACAGCAGGGACCAGCAGGCAAGGGGAATGTGGAGAGCAGGAGATAACAGGGAGCAGAACAGAATATGGGGAGGAGAGCAGCTTTCAAGGGCCAGAAGCCTGGCTCTCTATCCTGCAGCTAAGCCTGGTTTCACCTGGGCAGAAATAGCGCTGCTTGTCTTTAAGCCAAACCCAGACGCCTGGTACCAGTGGCCTCCCCGTGATCACACTGGGAGCCTGGCTGAGCAGCCACAAGCTCAGTGCATCGAAATTACACCCAAGCCTCAGGGGATGGTACCAGAGCACAGACAAGCAGTGCAATGTCTCTGTGTCCCTGTAATTTGAATAAGGCAGGAGATACCTAAGTGATAACGTGTCCTTCCTTGTTCCAGGGTTGTTGCATCGCTCACTCTGCAGAAATAGTGAGCTATTAGATGAGATAGATAGCTGGACATAGCTATAGATGTAATGCTGTGGTAACTACATGTCGTCTGTCAGTTACAGCAGTGTCACGGACATGTTATCAGAATGGCTTTGCGAAAGCTTAACTTGCCATGTGTGCAGGCCCAGGCAGCAGAGCCCAGCGTGAGGAGGGGCCTGGCCTTTTCAAAGGGAACAAGCCCACATGTATTACTCATATTTGCAGAGCCACTTTTGATGCAGTCTTACAAAAATCACCCAAGAATGCAAAAGCCAGAGGTGGCTGCAGGGAAGCTGCATGATAAAACTGTCCTTCATGCTGGCTTCCTTCACTGCTCTGCTTTCTTGGCTGTGTTGCCAAGAAGCATCAGAAGAGTATGCTTATTTTCATCAGAGAGGAAGGGGAGATGAATCCCTTCGTTATGCCAGGGAGGGAATGTGTTTCTGTGTAGTGTAACTGGCAAAGAATCAATCCGGGCGATTGAAAAGGCTATTGCTGTGGTTTGCTGCAGGGTGGGGAGGTTTAAACTCTCCACGTGCTTTATTCAAGTGTGATCCCATCTTTTCGGCATTAAAGCAGAGTAACCTTTCGTGTTCATCAGCGTGCTGCAGAACTCAAGCTGGGAATTAAAGTGGAAAGCAGAGCCTCATGTTAATCTTCTAGAGGGAAGTTTAAAATGTCTGGGGATTACTTCTGGTGAAAAAGCAAGCTTGTCGACATTAATTGCCAAGGCACATCCAGCTCAGTCACAGCACCTTACTCGGGATAGGTCTAGTGGAAGCTTGGTTGATCCATCAGTAAAAGGAAAATTAAAGCTTTAGGATGCTCTGACTTAAAAGTTGAGAGATTTCTCAACTGTGGCTAGAGGTTGTGATGTCTTCCTTGAGAAGGGACAGCTGCCCCACATAAGCTGCTTTGCTGCCTCACTGGGTTGCTGACTAGGTGCGCAGTTAAGCTAACCCTCCCCCCTTGATTCACCGTCTGTGCAGTGCAGAACGGGTGCCTGCCGATCTTCCCGCCACAGCAGCTTTGCTGGCGTACAAAGATGATGTTTCCCTCCTTCCCCCAGTGCGCAGCCTGTGGTCGTACCAATGCAAGCTTCTGCCCGGCTCTGCTGTGATCAGGGGTCTAAAAATCTTGCCCCCTGCATAAAACAAGGGTGAGAAAAATAGTTTGATGAAAGGATTTCCTTTTGGTAGAGGACACTAGGACGGGTAGGGGTCAGTAGGGCCGGGAATGCAAAGCACGGAGCAGTGAAAGTACCCGCAGGGCTGTGTCGACAGCGACCTTCAGAAGTCACAGCTAGGAGCATTTTCCATGGGATGATCCTGTCAAACCCCGCCTGTGCTCCAAACTGGTGTTCTCTCCTGATGCCCCTTGAAGAGCGTTTGTTTCTTTTTCACTTGCTATTTCCTCCAAAGCACTCAGCACAAAATTAAGACTTAAGTTGTCAGCTTTAGTCCAAAAAGTTAACTAAATGCCTGAAGACTGGAAATAGTGCCAGGGAAGCGTTAGATAATTTTACCTGAGCTGGTTTATCCCTCATGTGGCACTGTGCCATCCCTTTATCAAATCCCAGAGGGGATGTGTTCTCTCTTCATTGCTCTGCAACAGTGGTTTCCTATCTGGACTCTTGCAAGAAATGAACAGTGACAGCTTCAGCCAAAATGTGGCAGTATTTAAACAGCACATCTAACCTTTTTAATGAAGAGCTTCCACAGCAGGGGAAAACACTGAGTACATGGATGAACATTTTGAAATAGGTCTTTTCCTAATTCAGCAATGACTTCAACAGTAACTTAAATGAACTCAGCAAGCAAGGCAGCACTGTGTGCGTGTGCGACTGCCTCTGGCTGCCAGAGAAGCCAGGCAGGGAGAGAAAGTCTGAGTCTAGGATAAACCACAAACATCCCTCCCCAAAGAAAATTAAAAGAAAAAAAGGAAAATCTCATAAATTAACTGCCAAAAGCCCTGTTCTTCAAACTGCTGAAAAACAGGGGAAAATGAAAAAAAAATTCCACAAGTGCTGAATATGTGCACCAGCGTTCCCCACACCTGTGCCAAGCCCAGCTGAAAAAAAAAAAAAAAGAAAAAAAACCCCCCCCCCCCCAACCAAGCAGCTGCTTCGCTGCTTGCCAAAGTCCCTGTCTGCTGCGCATCCACTCGCACCTACCCCCCCAGCAGGCCATGCCATCTCGGCAGGGAGATCTCGCCGCAGATTCTCTGCCTGACACTGAGGAAACATGACATCACTTGGGCACCAACCAGCCCCTGGGCCATGGGTTCTTGCATGTCTCATGGCTTTTTGGCCAAATGATCCATGGTCCACTTGGGCCCTGGAAAAGCTCCAGGGTCCTCTGCCTAATTTTATCTTTGTCTTTCTGTGCCAGGGGAAGGGATCATGATTTCTTCAGAGGCTGCAGAGCTCCTGGACTTCATCGATGAGCAGGGACAAGTGCATGTGATTCAGAAATACCTGGAGAAGCCTCTGCTTTTAGAGCCAGGGCATCGCAAGTTTGACATCAGGTAACCTTTTCTGCTTTTGTACTAGTACTGGTTCTCATTTTCATGCTGTTTCTTTTTAAGTCACTGAGACTAGAGTTTGTTCTCTCGCCCCCCAGGAGCTGGGTTCTCGTGGATCATCAATATAATATCTACCTCTACAGAGAGGGTGTCCTGCGGACCTCTTCCGAACCATATAACAGTGCTAATTTCCAGGACAAAACCTGCCACTTGACCAATCACTGCATTCAGAAGGAATATTCCAAAAACTACGGGCGGTATGAGGAAGGGAACGAAATGTTCTTCGAGGAGTTCAACCAGTATTTGATGGATGCCCTGAACACAACGCTTGAGAACAGCATCTTACTGCAAATCAAACACATAATAAGGTATCTGGCTGCCTGTTGCATGGGGGAGCATAACTCTTCAGTGACAGGGAACGTGTATGGACACAGCTGGGGAAGCAGACAGACTGACAAGGGAATGCTTTCAATTGCATAAATTTAAGATAAAGCCATAAACACCTCAATGTCTTTGCTCAATGAAAAGAGACCTCCCTAGGTGCTGTTCTCTCAAAGGTACGTGTCAAGGTGGCTGCATTTTGCCAGCTGTGGCTGCAGAAGGATGGAGTGAGATCACTTGGTAAGGGAAGAGGGTAGATCGGAATACAGGACTGGGAGAGGTTGAGGTTAAAATTAAGGTTTGAGGTGTCAGAGGGGAAGTGAATCCGAACTCAAGTCTGTAGGATCTCACTGCTTCTCCTACAATCAGCAGCACATCTCATTGGCATAGGTCATCTTACTTGGTCCACACAGAGCCGGCTACCTTCTGGGCACAGAAAGTGCCTGGAGAAAGAGCTCCGAGATCAGGGTGCCACAGAGGATCCAGGTCTTGACAAAGTGATCCTTCATGACGGAATTTACTTTGCAAGTACTCCATTGGTGTTAGGCGAGAAAGACATGACACGATCTTTGAGAGACTCAGAGGCAAATGAGCTCTCGATGGCGGTTCCTTGGGGACCCGATGCAGCCTGCTGTGGCTCTGCCTTCTGCTCCTGGCTCTGATCGCACATCATGTGTTTCAGCATGCCTAAGCCAGTCGTGAGGGTTGATGCTGCTCTCCAGCTCTTTGGGAGTGAAGTCAGGGATGTCCCTGGATGTGTTCTGATGGTTGCATGATCTCATTCGCAGAGACCTGGTTACCGTGACATGTGTTGGGTAGAGCTTGTAATTCAAGGCAGTGCCAGGGCAGCAGGGGACCCCTCCACTTAACTGTGCTATGCACATGCCCTCAGAAGCTGCAGTGCGACAGATGTGTCTGCAGTGCTTTTAATCTTGGGTTGCTGGTTTTCCCTTCGCAGAAGCTGCCTTATGTGTATAGAGCCTGCAATCAGCACGAAGCATCTGCACTACCAGAGCTTCCAGCTCTTCGGCTTTGACTTCATGGTGGATGAGGAGCTGAAGGTCTGGCTGATAGAAGTCAACGGGGCCCCGGCGTGTGCCCAGTGAGTAATCGGTTTCTGTAATACCCTTGCAACGCCACCATTCGCACGCCTCACCCAAAACACGCCTATGTCCCAGCACCAAGTGCAAAAAGGGGAAAGAAAGGGAATGGCAGGGGGATTTTCCAGGCTAACCCATGCAAGTGCCAGTTGATTTAAGTTCGTTGCTCCTGTCTCTGTGTTTGGTATCCCCCAGCTTCTTTCCCATGTGAGATGGGGCACTAACATCAGTTTTTGGATATAACTTGGGTCGTTTTTATTGACACTGTTGGGTTGAAGTTATGTTGCAGAATCAACGCTTTGGGGGTCAGGTCGTTTCTCAGTCTCTCCTGTGGAGACACTGGTGGCTGGTCTTCACCTGAACACATGATAAATAAGTAGCATTAAGGGCAGCAGCTGGAACTGAGTGACAGAATTTGCAGGCAGCAGGATCTCAGAGCACACTGTGGATGCTGCAGACATTGGATCAAAGGCTCCACCAGCCACAGGGAGGCTGGGACAGACAAACAGCCGTGCCCATGAGCATCTCTGCATCGGCACAGCGGGAGGTGCTGTATTATGTGATTGGCGCAACCACGGCAGACAAGAAATCTTTGCTAAATGGGCATCTGTATCATATACAAGCCCAGCAAAACAGCACGCTGTACATCATTACATTAGACTTTGATTAGATTAGATGTAGATTAAATTAGATGTAGATTAAATTAGATTAGATAATCACTAACAGTAGACAAAAAATACAGGTCAAGCCTACCAGACAGCCTGTTCAGCAGCCTTTTCAGGGCTTGGGGAGCTTTCTGTGTCCAGAAAAAAAACAACAAAACAGTCATCTACACAGACCTGCGCTGTTCACCACATGTACCACAATGCAATAATGCCTTGCGCCTCCTTGCGTTGCTGTATGGGTAGAATTTGGCTGTTGCTGGGTGGATTTGGGATGCAGCAATGCCCTGTTTGCTTTGTGCCTCTATGGGCACCTGAAAGCCATTGAAAGCAGCTGAGGTAGGCTTTGGCTATTTGTGGCTTCTCCTCTTCAGGGTTATTCTAGCTTACAGCACCCATATCACACAGATCCCATTTAAGAGACAAAAAATTGCTGCTGAAAGCAGTAGCATTCCCAGGAGCTGAAAACGCATCTTACTGTCATGTAGTCCCAAAGGCACAGAGTGAGAGACATTGTTAATCCTGGTAAAGACAGCTTTGGTACTAAAAATGCCCCAGATGTCAGCATGTTCGGGGAGGTTGCGCGTGTATTTCCTTCAGCAGAAAGCGAAGCTATTGTTAACCCATTTCTCAAAGACCTTGTCTCTCTTCTCCCTAACGCTGCTCTGTGTGAGCTGTGCCATGGTGAAACACATCCCACGCTTCCAGAGGGTCCTGGCGAAGTCTCTGTGCCTGGTCATGAGCTGATGTGCACAGCTGCACCCCAGTGCAGCGTTTCATCACACTGTGAATGCATCGGGGCAGTCCCTGTGGGGCGCATCCCCACACAAATGGGGTCTGGTGTGATAATCACGCTCCCTGAGCGGGAAGGCCGGTACAGGGGGTGTTCGGCTGTTGCCTGCTCCCATGCTCCTTGCAGTGACTCAAGTCTGGGCCTGAGGCTGTCAGACTCTGCTCAGGAGCCTGTTCTGACAGTAAACTTAGATAATGGCTCTTGTGGTCCCATCTGCCAGAGAGCAATATTGGGAATCGGAGCGCCTCTCCTATGAAGACAGGCTGAGAGAGTTGGGGTTGTTCAGCCTGCAGAAAGAAGGCTCCAGGGAGACCTTGTAGCAGCCTTCCAGTACCTGAAGGGGCCTACAGGAAAGATGGTGAGGGACTGTTCATCAGGGAGTGTAGTGACAGGACAAGGGGTAATGGGTTTAAGCTGAAGGAGGGTCGATTTAGATTAGATGTTAGGGAGAAATTCTTTACTGTGAGGGTGGTGAGGCACTGGAACAGGTTGCCCAGAGAAGTTGTGGAGGCCCCATCCCTGGAAGTGTTCAAGGCCAGGTTGGATGGGGCTTTGGGCAACGTGGTCTAGTGGAGGGTGTCCCTGCCCATGGCAGGGGGGTTGGAACTAGATGATCTTTGAGGTCCCTTCCAACCCAAACCATTCTGTGATTCTATGGTTTTGTGATTCTGTGAGTGGGAGCACTGTTGAAAAAGACAGCGGTTGCTTGGGTAGACAGGGAGGAGATGGAAGAGATGCTACCCTCCTCCCATTTGCCACCCTGGAGCTACCTGTAGTGGGAGCAGGATCTTGTAGATCCTGATGGGAAAATGCATGTCTATGTAAAAATCGGTCAGGGGCCTGCTGCTTTGTCTTGCCTGGGCATCTGATTCTCGCTCTCTCTCGTCTCTTAGGAAGCTGTATGCAGAGCTCTGCCAAGGAATTGTGGATGTAGCCATCTCTAGTGTTTTCCCCCTCAACGACACTGGGCAGAAGACGAGCCAGTCATCATCAATCTTTATCAAGCTGTGACGGCGACAGAAATGCCTCTGCTGTGCACAGGGAAGGAGTGCACCCATCGGGTCAGCACAGTTCGATGGCTTATCTCAGTATCATGCCAAAAAGTGATAGAGACAGGCTGCTGCTTTTCTGGGAAATCATGGGAGAAAACAACAAAACAGGCATCTACACAGAGCTGCGATGAGCCAGAGCTGCTCACATAACTCTGCCTGCATTCACCAAAATCCACTTTAGAAACAGCTCGTGTGACTTTGATACCTGAAACAAATCTCTCTGGGAGAACAACAGAATAACCTTAAAATGAAACCCCAACAGGGATACTATAGTACTGTATTAGCTCCTCCTTTTCTATAGAGATAACATTGGGTTTTTTAAGGGAATTGAATGAAGAGAATGATGATCTTCTGGGACGTCATGGCTGGGAAGTTCTCCTCCCACTGTGTTTCTTCTTTCCTCACCTACTGTGTCATTAGTGCCTTAGCTCAGCTCCAAATAGGTGACTCCTTTCCTTTGTTCCTGCTCTGTTACGCAGAAAGGAGCAAGCTCTCTTGCATCGCAGGATGCTGGAAACCAGGAACAACAAGAATTCAGTTTCCTTCGGTCATTTTCCAAGCTGGTTGGCCGAACACCCAGGCAACAGCTGGCAAAAGGGTGCTGAACTGTAGGTGGTGAATTAACCCAAGAAAGGAAGGCAATTTTGTTTATTTATAGCTATCCCTTTTCCTAATGAGATTTGAATTGGTGTCCATCCCACTCTGATGCAGTTGGATTCTGTTTAAAAGAGGTAGAGAGACCCCCTTGGGGCTCTCCAGCAGGCTGTATGATTTCTAACATCACTTTTGTGCTAAGAGGGTTTCAGATAGCAGAAACCCGATCTCCTCAGTTTCTTCTGAGATGCTGCAGTGAATTTAGGCTCTTCTCTCAGCTTTCACCTTCTTCATGCCTTTGTGGCGTGAATCTGAAACCGTTCAACCCAAATAATTTTTACCCTGTTTGATCCAGCCAATTTTATTCTCCTCCATTTGACAAATACTGCAGTTTTCTGCCCTGTACACAATCCACAGCTCGGTCTCAGCTGGGGGGGGTGGGGGGGTGGAAAGTGGATGAGGTTTTGTTTGTAGACCAGGAGAGAGATTCCTCGTGTGTAGGTTTGCCACACAGCTGGGAAGGCAGGTGTTTGGTGGGGAGGGGAGATTAAATTCCTTAAGGTCCCCGAATTTCAGAGCTAACATCTACTTTGAGTATAACCTAAATCCCTGGTGTGTTGCCCGCCCTGGGAAGTGTTTCTGTGTTGTCAGTGTGAGCCTAGCACATCCCTCCTAAGCTAGAGCTCTTTGCAGAGCGCAGCAGCACTTGTGACAGCAGCGGGCTTTGTGGGGGGTGTTCGGGGCTGTGTTCTGCTGCCTCTGGCATGGAGAGATGTTGGCACCAAGACAAACTGGTTCCTGTTACTCAAAACAAACAAGCAAGAAGAGGTTGTGGAGGTTACAAGCCTGTGGCTACCTGTGTGTAATGGGAAGTGAGTCAAGCAGTGGGATTTCTGCCTCCCTCGGAAGATCCTGGCACTTTGGCATATTCATCTCTGCTCGTGCTCGAGATTTCAGAGGTCCTCGCACCAGCAGACGATCCCGGCACCTTTCTGTAGGCAGGACCACAGTGCCCGGGCCTCCTTAGAGTGATGCGTTTTGATCATGCTGCCACAGGATGGACGTTCATTGCAATGTGCTATGAGTCTGCAAGCGGCACCATTTCACGTGGGGCCACTCGGATCCAGTGCTTGACAGAACCCCGTGGAAGTAGGGCAGAGAGGCACATCCCAAAGATTTGTGCGGGTACCTCTGAAGTTGTCAGCGCCCCAAAACGCGGCGTGGATCCACATCCTCAGGGTTGCGGTGGACGCAGGGTACGGTGGTGCACGCTGAGAAGTGACAGGGAGCACGAGCTGTGTGAAAATGGGGCTGTGGCTTTGTTCCCCTGCACTGCAAGTGCTGGTGGGTGGCTTTGCTTCCAGCGAGACCCTGCTTGGCAGGTCTGCTCTCTGTTTTTGGGCCTCGTGGGTTTTCAGGAGAGGGACAGCAAATGCATCGGTTTGTGAGACGGGAAGCTGGGTGACAAGCCGGGAGAGGGTATGGGGGAAGGACAGGTTGGGATTTTAACCTTACGATAGTGCATAGGGGTCAAAATTTTACTGCAGGCCAGGTAAAGCGCAGGTTGTAACGGTTGTTACTCAACTTGCAATGTTGACCACATCTGTATTGGTATTTTCACATGTTGGCTCATGTAAGCTTAGAAATTACACCTTTTTGCCCAGCAAAGGGAAATCTAACAGCAATCGCTTTGGTCCAGGATGCGCCTGAGGTGGCAGAGGAGATGTCAGGCTCTTGCAAGCTCTAGGGCAGACAAGAGCAGAGCATGAAGCGAGAAGAGAAAATTTTCCCCATTGTAACAAAATGAGAAATGCTTGTTTTCTGGGGTGCTAGACCCATCCTTCTTTTCCCCTCAAAAGGGAAATGAAAAACGAAATCGCTCCCTTACTGCACAGCAATGTGAGGTTCCTGTCGACGCAGTGGGATAAGGGCAAGGAGGCCGCAGGCAAAAGCAGCGGCCCCCCTGCAGCAGCAGGTCCTGCCAAGAGGACCACTGACCCAGGAGCCCTGCCTAACTCCTGCCTCTTACCCCTTTTTCACCCTAGATTGATTTGTCGCATGTCAGCAGCTGCTGTTTTTCCTGCTCAGCTGAAAGTGGGGCTTTGACTTCATGGTGGAGCCGTGACCGCGGGTGCTGCGGCTATTCGTACTCTGCCTTTTCAGCTGGGCTTTGGGGAGAGAGTGATGCAGGGAGCTGTGAGCATTGGCTTGTTTGCTGAATTTTTCCTAAATAAGCAGCAGCCTCTGGAGTGAAACAGCAGGTATGGCGTGTATTTACCGCCTGCTCCCACAGTGCTCCCCAAGGTAAAGCCCAGGACGTAGATGATGAAGGACAGAGACCTAAGGTCTTGCCCAAAATATTAGCTCCGAGGTGGAGTAGAGGACGCACGTGTGACTGAGGCCTGAGCATTGCAGCCGTGTGTGCACCTTGCAGGCGATGCTCACAAGCCCTTGTGAGACTTTCGTTCGCTTCTTTTTTTTTTTAGGAATGCACAACAATAAATGTTTTCTAGCTTATTTCAGCTAAAAGGTCAATAGAAAAGGTCATACTCTCTCCCAAGCTTTCACAAAGGATAGTGCTGTGTTTCCAGAAGGAACCAACCATATTGCAGAACGTCTCTACTCCTAGTTGTATCCCTCCATGAAGGATTCTAGGCCCAGGCGCTCGGGCTGTGTTCTCCAGCAGGGTCCGGTCCCGCTGGGCTCTGGGTTTCAGGTAACTCATGTACTTGTCTCATGCCAGTCCAGTCGTGATCACTGTGCGACAGCTACTGTGCAGCCCACGGAAAACATCGGAGAAGTCTAAGAAAGGCTCAAAGCCACTTCATCGAGGAGGCCCGGCTTCCTAGCCCTGCTGTGACCAGCGCCCCTCGGGACTGCTCGCATGTCCCTGCTCCCACCAGTTCTTCCTCTCCACCTGCAGCTCTCCCCCAGGAGAGCAGTGCTGAGTTGCACGTAGGTCTGTTAGCCGCGTCTCGTTGCTGGTGTCTGCTGCGGCAGCCCTCGGAAAACCCTGGCGTTGAGAGGGCAGTGGGGCATATCCAGCGCGGCCAGGCTTCGGTCGTGTCCCCAGCTGCTCTCACGTCAGCATGTGCGTGTGGGCCGGCAGGCACCTGAGCTCCCCATCTTTGGTGACTCCATCCATCTCCAAAACATGCCAACCCCCAGCCAGTGGTGTTTCCTTGGGCAGTGGGGCCCCGGGGTGCCAGCGCTTCCAGGAAACTGTCCTGTGGGTGCCTGTGGTCAGTGCCCCCCCACTTGCCAGGCGGGACCCCAGCAGCTGGCCCAGCCC